AGAGAGAGAGAGAGAGAGAGAGAGAGAGAGGAGGGGGTGGAGAAGTGGGAAAGAAAGTGGACAGAGCACTTGGTGCCGATGAGTTAATCGCTTAATGAGGAAACTCATGAGGACATTTATTCGATGTGGCAAACCTCATTATCAGAAATTTTGATATTTTAAAACAACGGCTGGGAAAAAATTGGGTTTTTTCCGCTTTTTGTGGCTGTTGTTGTTGTTGTTGTTGTTGTTGTTGTTGTTGTTGTTGTTGTTGTTGTTGTTGTTGTGTGTGGTAGCTTGGCCTATCCGTTCGAAATGTTTGGAGCCCCTAAGAGCTTGCTCTTCGCCTGGGCCATCGTCTCTCTTGGGAAGCGGGTGAGGCAGTCCAACCTCTCTGAATCCTGTTGCTGTTGTTGTTCTTGTTGTTGATGATGATGTTGTTTTGTTTCGTTTGTTTTTGCACAGTTTTTAAAACGCTATCCTTCAAACTATCCATTGGCCACTTCTTGTATCGACTCCATCAAGCTGCAGAAAAAACCGACAACAAAAACCTCAATTTTTTTAAAACTTCCACAAACAGCTCGAAGCTATCATTTTGCTTTTCTTTAACCCTATCCGTACGTCGTGTTTTACTATCGTATCCATACGACGTTTGGAACTCTGTGCCCCCACTTTCCAAAGATTTACTCGATCCGTACGCTTTGCATAGCAGTCTATCAAAATGATTATTTTTAGAAACACTAAAAGTTTCAAAGAGATCTTCGCACTAGAAGTACGTGTATTCAGAAATGTGAAGAATACAACCTCTGTGGTTCAAAATGACACAGGGCGTACGGATAGGGTTAAAACGTTCCTCTCAGATCAATGACCAAAACGTAAGTATAAACTTACATTTCCGTAACAAACTCGCTACACTCACCAGACCCTCTCTCGAGTGTGCGTTCACAATACCTTAGTTATAGCAAAGATAGTAAATAACAAGATGGGCCACTCAGCCAAAAAAGTGTCCGCAGAAGTCTGCTCATTGCTTCAGATGGCGCTGAAGTCTTTGTTTTGAAGCTCTCGTTCGTTTCTCCAGAAGAAGAATAGGAATAGCACCCCCTTGCGTGCGCAGATCGACTGCTGTTCATCAGTAGGTCGGGTTCGTTCAGTGCGGAGTTTTAGGTTATTTATATTTTAATGACCTCTCGCCTTTCATTCTAAAGTCAAATTAAACGAAGAAAACAATCACCCTTTCCTCCGGAAGAGGTTTTTTGTCAGCGTAACCATTTTAAAAAAGCGTTCTTCCGAAATTCATTCAAAGACTTGCTAGTTTCACTTTGATTTTTTAAAACTCAAGTAGGATAACTCTGTTCGCAAAAGGTGCGCTTTTGCGAAGAGGGCGCCACCGAATTTTGAGGACACTTTTTTAATTGGCTCAAAGAGAGAAGTGGCCCCTCTTGTTATGTAGACTCATTGGTTATAGAAGGCATGCAGTCAGTCTAGCCTACACTGTTTCATTACGGAAATGTCCGTTGATTTACCATCTTTATCCTGCAATGGGTAGCCGATTTCGCCCGCTCATCCGGGGCTTCGCAGTCCAGTCATGTCCTCACTCGAAAGGAGGAAATGAGTCTCCGAGCTTAGAACGACGTGTTTTAAAAGGGGTCATCGTATTGATCTCAAATGGTTTTTAAAAATACTATCCTTCAAACTATCCATTTACCACTTCTTGTACCGACTCCATCAAGCTGCAGAAAAAAAACCCAAAAAATAAACCCCAACAACAACAAAAACTCAATTTTTTGAAAACTCCCACAAACAGCTCTAAGCAATAAACTGTTTTGCTTTTCTTTAACCCTATCCGTAAGTCATGTTTTACTATCATATCCATACGACGTAGGGAACTCTGTGCCACTACTTTCCAAAAAGGAAATTTACTCGTTAATACTATCCGTACGCTTTGCATAGCAGTCTGTCAAAATGATTTTTTTAGAAACACTAAAAGTTTCAAAGAGATCTTCGCACTAGAAGTACGTGCATTCTAAAATGTGAAGAATACAACCTCTGGGGTATAAAATGACCCCAGGCGTACGAACAGGTTTAAAACGTTGCTCTCAGATCAATGACCAACACGTAAGTTTATCATTTCCGTAACAAACTCCCTACACTCACCAGACTCTCTCTCGAGTGTGCGTTCACAATACCTTAGTTGTAGAAGGCATGCAGTCAGTCTAGCCTACACTCTTTCATTACGGACATTTCCGTTGATTTACCATCTTTATCCTGCAATGGGTAGCCGATTTCGCCCTCTCATCCGGGGCTTCGCAGTCCGGTCATGTCCTCACTCGAAAGGAGGAAATGAGTCTCCGAGCTTAGAACGACTTGTTTTAAAAGGGGTCGTCGTATTGATCTCAAACGGTTGAGCGGCGACAGCGATCTCCAAAGGGGATGACCATGGTCGTTCTATCATTTCCTCAACTCTCCTTCTCCTATATCGAAAAGGCGTGGAAAGAAAGTACCGAGAATTCTCGCTAATGTCGTTTTGAAGCAGATGGATGCGCGCTTTGGGACGCAACATCATGTCTTTCGGGAATTTCCACAGTATTTTCCCGCGCGTTTAAAAAAAAGTATCGATTTTCTGGAGAGGGCATGAGAGCTCTTTCGCGTGAAGAGTCAAGAGATGCCCAGCGCATCTCTCCAGCTTTCATCCTGTGTCGCTGCGTTACACGCTAGGACAGCA